GGTGAGGCTGTGCGGCTCGGAGGCCTGGAGCCTGAGTGGGTTCCTTAAGGGCTGCCCTTATTGCTCTTGACCCTAACTGGAAAGCAAGGGGAGTCACTTCTGCTCTTCGGCTAAAGTTAGTGGGAGAAAGATGGTCGAGAGAAGAGTTATGGGGATTGCGGTGAATAAAAGATCTTAGCCTTGCCGAGATGATGTGTGTGCTTGATTTATTTCCTGCCTGTGAGAAACATGTGATTGTTTCTTTTTAGATGGTTTCAAAGACCTGTGCTGACATTTATCTTAGAGGGCTTAACATCTACATGATAGTCTTTAAATGGGTATTTTAACATTGAATATAGCCATTTTGTTTATAATTCTCAATTTTACAGGCTACAGTATAGATGTAATAGAACAGACTAACCCAAAGATGCTATAATTTTAGTAAGAATAGTGACAGGCCATCTGGAAGTCATGGATCAAAAGTATAGACTGTGATACAGAAAAGACCTCCTCAGAACAAAATGATTTGTACCACAGTATCTTATCCAAATTAATTGACCAAAAGTGCCTTTCAGTGAAATTAATTTTAAGCTTATCCTGGAAAGCATTTGAAATAAAAGACACCTCAGTCTCAAATTGTGTGCAGATTAAAGCATTGCATGTTTCAGCTCGATGCATTTGAGACTTTGCCTGTGATAAAAATAACAGAGTATAAAGGATTGGTTTAGAGTTACATACTGTGGCTTTCGTCCAAGTAAGACAACAAAACCAACATAAAAGTCTATATACAACGTTTTCCAAATTAAGCATGTATTGCATCTGAAGCATCTGCGTACAACAAATATAGAAGTGGACTCGAAGCTTACGGTAATTTTTATATTTGTTTTAGAAATGAGGAAGTCATAATATTGAAATCAACATTGTCTGATGACTCACCTCATTTTGCAATGTATATTTTTCCCTATATATATATATATATATGTCTGTGTGTGGCACCATTTAGTGTCATGATCTATTGTAGACATGTAAATTACATGTGAGTCTTTGTCTTGGTAAGTAAATTCTTTCATTTGTGTATGCAACGGAGAGTCTTTGATAATTCTCCGCAGCAAAAAATTACCGTAGAGGAACACTGGAAACTTTATGATGTATAACAAAAAATAGTCGCTGTGGTGTTAGAAATCTTGAGATACTATGTTGGTGTAGGTGGAAGTGTTTTTCTTCTGTTGACTTCTTACTGTTGAGGATCTGGACTTGTGAAGACTCTGGGGACAGGAGAAGCATGTTAGGGTGAGGCACGTAACTATGGGAGATCGTTGCAGTGCTTTATGCAATTCCTAGCAATGCCAGCATTTATTTTTACAGTGGTGATGCCACCATAGTATTGGCGTATAGGTAGTTGCTCCTTTCCAGAGGAAGTCTAAAGTTTTACATATATCATATATCTGAAGTGCTTGGAAGGTAAAACATAAAATCTTTACTTAAATTGTTAATAGACCTTTCTTCCTGCATTTTAGCCTGAAAACTGGATTCTTAAAGTGGAAACCAGATTATGACAGTGCAGCTACTGAATATGGGAAGGCAGGTATGTATGGCTGTAAACATGTCCGTATAGCTTATGGTTTCAAAGTATTCTTTAAGCTTCATCCCTGATAACATTTGACATGTTTTCAGGGCATTGCTGTGTAGGTAGAACTGTTGTGAAGACAAGGTAAGATGAAACAACAATAAAAATACTCTTAAATAATAAGAGTATTTAATGTAAATATGTAAAATAAATTTCATATTGTACTTGGAGATCTAGATCAGTTGTCAAAACAATTTTTTTTTAAGCTTACAACTTCTATTTTATATATTTCTACGTGTGATAAAAATAAAGCTTTCCTTCTTTCACTTGTTCACTCTCAAATTCTATGACTTTACCTACAAAACAACAAATATTTGAGCTAGTTTTAAAACTTTGCTTTTTCATCATTTTACAAAGTATGTCCTGAGAAGGACTCTCTCAGTAAGGTAGAGAGATACTGCTGGATTTTTTTCAGGCATAGTAAGATGTCTTTCCTCCTTTTTTTCCACTGCAAGTGTGACATGGAATATAAAATTCTTACCAGTTGATTCATTTTTGCTCTTAAACAGTTTTCTTCTTTTTGATAGCAGTAGTTTATCGTGTTTTTTGGCTTCTTACTCTAGGCATTCCTATGCATTCATTTGAGCCTGAATAAAAAAATACAAACGTCGAAGAGCAACTGGAGCATTTATAAATCGAAATTTATTTTAAATCCCACTTTAATATCGTATCTGTCTGATGGAGATAGAAATACATGTTTGTACCCTGAAGTGGTTGTGTTGGGGAAGTTGTTACAGATATGTTTTGTTGATGGTACACGTCTATTCCTACCGTACTTATTTTGTATAACCTCTAATGATTAAAACTGTACACATGTGCATTCTTGCAGTTCTCTAATTAAAATACAGAGTGAGTGAGTTCCAAAATCCAGCTAAATGCATTATGCACAATATGTGGTGCAGTGATGTTATGAAGGTGTTGTTGACAATAAATGTTTTTAATGGTAACTAAGTGACTAATGAAGCAAGGAGGACTCTCGTGGGATTTTTTGGAAGAACTTAGTAAACTGTAACCATTCATTTCAAGAGTCTGTTTGTATCACGGTGCAAATGGTGGCTAAATTCTTGAGCAGAAGTGATTAAAAAAGGAAAATGACAATGTGTAAATAAGAACTTTATTTGATTTCTTGCAGCTGTTGCTTTTAAGAATGCCAAGCAGTTTGACCAGGCAAGGGAGGCCTGTTTACGGGAAGCTGAGGCACACGAAAACAATAAAGCGTATCTTTTCATTGATTGTCATTCTTTTTTCCAAGAAAAGCTGACTAGTTGCTACTTAGAATGGGGTAACAGGGGTTGGTAGAAGATGTATTTAATATATTTGCACTAACAAAGTTGTCTTTTAAAAGACTATTCCTGTGTGCTCTGAGTGGGAATACTAAAGAACTATTTTTGTTAGAAAATCTTTGTTGTTTCCAGTAACATCTGGAGCAATAAGATGCTGACCAGTGCCCAAGATGTCTACGTAGTGCTTCAGAAATTATTATATATTTTTTAAATACCTACAAATGGATAGTATAAACTAAATGCAACTCTGACATTATTACAGTACTTGAAGTAGTATTTAGTAACCAGGAACGTATTTTAAAATAGATGTGCTTTTTACAACTTTACATGCAGTTATACTTTGGTGTGTTGCATGTATTCTGTCCTTAGAAGCATTTATTTTTGACATCTTGCATACAAAGGTTTGATTTGCCTTTATGGGATTCCCTACTTTGAAACTAGTATAAGGTTTTGTACACTAATAATTTTTCTGCATTATATTTTTGTGGCTTTTGTCCTTGACTTTGACAATTTTACTTCCAGTCTCTTCCATGCTGCCAAGTAAGTACAGAAGCACTGAGCAGTCTGAAACAAATGTTCTAGCATATGGTACAGGCATGAACTATCGTTTTGATCTCACTGTAGTAAGCAGTATGATTCAAGTGATTTTGCAGTTTCAAAATCAGTTTAATGGAAGCACAGGCTAGGAAAGTCTGCAAACCTATAATGGCCATTTGAAGAAATGATGATTTTGACATTCTTCAGCACCTTTTGATACCAGATATTTTTTCTTAGATGAGCTTTTTTTAATTGTGAAATTCTACGCTGTTGAGCTTATAAAGAAGTTTTTAATTAGAGAGTACTTGAAAGCAAGCCGATAATGACAAATAATACAAATATTGCATGTGGGTCAGATCATGAGAATAGATTTTTAGTGGGGAGTGTGGTTGAAGTACTTCATTTGTGGAAGATAATGTTACACATGCACTGTGTCAAATAAAATGCTTGAAACATCTTCAAAGCATTAAATATTAACAGTGAAGTGATAGCTGATGCATGTTAACTTTTGCTGTGTAACTGCGACTTGCTGAAATACACCATATCTAACTAAATTGTAAATTTTTTTTTCTCTGTAGAGCTTATGAACAAGCTGGCATGATGCTAAAGGTATTTTAATTTACTAGTTTTTATTAAAAAGTTCTGTTTTATAGTGATGAATATTGTGCACTGGACCATTTTACAAATATATGTAAGCACATTGCATATTAAAGTGGTATTTTTCTGTTGACTCATACTCCCCACCAATACCCTCAGTAGGTTAGGGAGGCAACATTTGTAATTGGGTGGAAAAAGAAACGGTTTTCCTTTTGTAGAAAGAAAGGTAAGGGCCTCATGTCAGAGAGTAACAGAAGAGTAGTGTCACTTCTGCTCTAAATGTGACAAATTTGTGCCTTACATGAAAGCTTGGTACTTACAAGTGAATTTTATGGAGTTGGTAGTCAATTTTCACTAGCTCTACATCTTAATAAACAAGGCATTCCAGTTGGCTTTGATTCGTTTCATTGTACATAAGCACAATTCCTGACAGCAACATCCCTCTGACTATTGCTTTGCAGGAGATGCAGAGACTCCCTGAAGCAGTTCAGCTGATCGAGAAAGCCAGTATGATGTACCTGGAAAATGGGACACCAGATACAGCAGCCATTGCACTGGAACGGGCTGGAAAGTAAGTCTGTGGGTATTGGTGGCTAGAATGCATGCAGGGCATGGGTATGGTTTTGGTTTTCTTTCTTGTCTTTTTGATTCTTTTAGGTAAAAAAGGTTATAATTTAAACTGAATATAAATTATTTATGTTTATTACAGGTTAATAGAAAATGTGAGCCCAGAGAAGGCGGTGCAGCTTTATCAGCAAGCAGCATCAGTATTTGAAGTAAGTGGGAGTGTTTTGGGTTGATTCCCCCACCACCACCCCAGCAAAGAATTTTCCAGTCCCAGAAAGTATTCGGAGATGGATGAATTGGTGTTTAGGGTCAGCTGTAAAATTAAGAAAAACCCTAAAATTGGGTTCTAAATTATTTTTCCTTACTTTCACATCTGTGGTTGAGTAATAAAGCTGAAGGCTTCTTATGCTGTAGAGAAGGAGATTATAAAAGGAGTCAGTTTGCTTTGCCCTTTTCTCGGTTTGGGACTTGACTGAGTCTGAATTTTGTATGTTGTCAAGTTTTCTGCCTCTTGTTGGGCAACCCAGAGGGTAGGGAACATGGCTGCTGTTGAGTCCTGGAGCCTAAAATAGTTTGAAATCCTTGAAGGCACAGAAGAATTGAATTTGATGCTCTGCCCATCCCTTGAGCAGATGGTTGGCTTTTTTGCTGCTGCCTTCGGCGTACTTCTGTATCATCAGTTGTCATGTGTTTCCAGATTAGCAAGTTTACATTGGCGTTACTTTGCTCTGTAGATCCATACGGGAGCTGGCTGTGGGACTTAGGTGCACCAGTGCTTTTCATATTTCCCTTGAGTGTGTGAACTGCTGATATAATAATTAACAGTTGTTCTAGGTTACAGATGACATACTTAGATTAAGGTCTAGTGGTCTTGATTCTATGCAAATGAAATAAGAATGCATGAATTCTTTTTGTTTTCTAGAATGAAGAACGTTTACGGCAAGCATTAGAAATGCTGGGGAAGGCATCAAGGCTTCTAGTCAGAGGACGCCGGTATAGCTTTATGCCTCTTTATTTTTTAAATGTAATAGAATCTTTACTAGAGATTTTCATTGGGTTTTTTCTTTTGCTGTTGTTGGGTTTATATACTGTTACTTAATTCTTCTTTGAGATGAACTTCAAACTAAAATTCAGTTTCTGTGAGATACGTGATGTTCATCCAGGAACCACCTGTCTTGTGTTCTGGGCTGGGAAAATGTGGGCTATAGGCTTTGTTTCTTTTGTGTTTGTTGAATAGCTAGAAAGCACATACACCAGCTTTCATTAATTCTTAAACTACTTCAGGATTTTTTTTTTTTTTTTTCTTCCAGCACTAATATGTAGAAAGTACTTGAAAGTCTTTTATAGCTGTGGAGTATAAAACAGGGGAATTAGGTGACTAACCTGAGGAAAAAAAAAATCTGTTTGCAGCAGTCTGATTCTGGACTTCTTAAAGATTATGTCTTGGAATCTAAACAGGAATTTATTGTAATTGTTAGTTGCTAGCACCTTCGCAAAGGAACTTTGCGAAGTAACTTGGAAGTCTTTCTGTGAAAGCAAGTCAACGTAGTTTCAGAACTTGAGAAAGACTGATTGCTCTGCTGCTCTATAGCTTACGAGCTATTGCTAATTTCTAGAAGTTTAATATGATCATCAAAAGTATTCAAACTCAAAAGCAGTTATTACAACAATATTGATAGTTCATGGATATCAGACTTGCTGATAGCTTATAGTAACCTCATGACATAGAGAAATCTGTTAAGTTACATAACAAGGCATTCATCTTTACAGTGTCATAAAAAAATGAGGTTTGTCTGAATGAATACCAGAGATGTTCTTAGCCTGCATGTATACAAAAGGAATTGCTGACTGCATTTCTTTCTTTCTGCATTTCTACTCTGTTAGTAAGATCTACTGCTGATTTTTAGTTGTGTCACTTTTTATTCCAGTAGACTTGTTGGTGTATTAGTTAAACACTTTGTAATTAGTTCATTATGCTGTATTCTTGGCAGTGATAGTCCTAACTGTTTTTTGGGTTTTTTAGATTAGATGAGGCTGCATTGTCTCTTCAGAAGGAAAAAAGTATTTATAAGGAAATTGAAAATTACCCAACATGCTATAAGGTAAGTTGTAAGAGACAGTTTCTGATAGTGCACTTCAGGTTTTTCTGGGTAACTAATGACCACTGACATCTGATTGACAATACGTACCTGTTGATTCAGGGATACGTTTCTTGTTAAACGATGAGAATTTGTGGTAGCACGTTTCCCCAACCCCTAACTGTGCTTTTTTCACTACTATAATGTTGAAGATAAGATGCTGTTATCTACAGGAGCTGTCAAAAACAATGAACGCATCAAAAATAAAGATGTTTTCAAAAATAGCAAACCAGAAAAACTGTTATTTGGTGCAATGGTTCATTATAATGTTATAGGAGATAATCTGTTTCATAACAGCTGAGGATATGGCTTACCACTTTTTCACTGTGTTGTTCTGACTCTCTTGTGTCAGTATCGTAGAATCGTTGCGGATCATAATGACCTTTTTCATGCTAAATATTAGCAGTCCAGTATTTTTTTTATATTTTACTGTTAATTTCTGAAGAATCATTAGGTTGGGTTTTTCTTGTTTTTTTGTTTAGAAAACTATTGCTCAAGTCTTAGTTCATCTTCACCGAAATGATTACGTTGCTGCCGAAAGATGTGTGAGGGAAAGCTATAGGTAAGTCTACTTCATGTCCTTTAATTTTAAACTGAATGTTTCATTAATGTAGATCTATTCTTACAAAAGACCAATGGAAACACTGTCTGTCGAGAAATATTAAGCCTGTACTTCTGCTGACTTATAGTACAATAATAGCATTCCCTGGTATGTGACTATCAGGAATTTTTTTCACTCTTAACAGATTTAGCTGTAATTACCATGGTGATTCTTCTTAATGAACCTAAAATAAAAATTTAGTCATAAAGAAGTAGTTATGTGCGACAGGTAAAATAATATGGAAATTAGAAGTTCTTCCCATTTTTTTTCCTTGTTAAAAGCTGAGCTGAATGTTGTAACGGCTGGACTCTTGCCTTACTGATGTCCTTCGGGTTGTGTCTTTTTTTTCAAATGGAACAGAGATGTATTAGCTGTTGTAAACAAATGTTTAGGATTATAAGTGTGTGTTTCTGGATGTTGCTGAGTTTTAATTTTTTCAGAATCTTTTTGCTATGTCATGTGTAGAGGCCCTTAAAAAGTTTAAATTCTAACTTATCATTACCATATTTTATTACAGTTTGAGGATGGAAATGTAATGCAGTCTCAAAATGTGCAATAACAACATCTCAGTATAATCAACTAAACTATGTAGTGCGGTGATTAGATTGAAGGAAAGATTAATCTAAATGTTTTTGTTAAAGAAAAGTTTACAGCATGTGAATTACTACATTTCTCGCTGTGTTGATCTAGATCTTGCCCTTGTCATACATTGGAAGAAGAAAAGCAAGATTTCTACTTTTTTGTGACTTTTTTTTTTTAATAGTCGATTGAACTGAAAAGATAATTTAGGAAGCAGAAAGTAGTCCAGTTGAATACATTGAAATGGAGAAGGCATTCTTTACACATCCAGGAGAAAATTCTGGGGTCAAAATCTGGATTAATGTTTAACCCTGGTTCCAGAGGCTTTCCCAGCAACTCTCCATTTCAGCTTCCATTAGGACTTCAGTAACGAAATACTGAAACAACATACTTTTACTTAAACTACGTTTTTAGTGAAATGACTTGAACATATGTGTGAGTTAAATTGTACTTTATTTTTAGAACGATTTTTTTCAAGATCGATCTTTAAACATCTTGCTCATATTTTCCAGATCTTCAATTTATATTTTATATATAGAAACTCATTAGAGAACTTTTCTGTATGTAAAGTGGAAGAAGAATTCATTGACTAGTCAGGAAAAATTGAAAAATTCCAATATTCTCTTTTTGTCTTGACTATGATTGTGATCTTTTTCTCAGGATGCAAACTAATATTGCAGAAAGTTTCATTTTGTGGGTATGATCTATATACCTGGAGATCTCAAAGTGATTATAGGCAGATTTGTGGATTAAGTAGTCCATGAGATTTTTAAAAGCTGCTTGTTCTTCTGTTATTAATCAGCAGCATTTAAAAATAGACTACCTGAATGTCAAGTGGATTACTGAAACGCCCTAAAGGAACTCAGTATATGTTTTTTTTAATTACCTTCAGTATACCAGGATTTAATGGAAGTGAAGACTGTGCAGCACTAGAGCAACTTCTAGAAGGGTATGACCAGCAAGATCAGGATCAAGTTTCTGAAGTCTGTAATTTGCCACTCTTCAAATACATGGACAATGATGTAAGTAGGCAATTCCTCTGGATATGTTTTTTATAATCCTTCTGCTTGTTCAGGTCGAGAGAGATTTTTTTCTAGTAGAGGAAAATAAGAAGGATCCATATATTTATTGTGACTTGCTCTGCCATCCTACCCTGCGCCTATCAACTTCATGTATTGTTTTACTTTGCTGCCTGCTAATGTAAATTCCCCTTTCATTGTTCCCTTCTGATGGTGGGAAGGCTTAGGTGAAAGAGTGGTTTGTTATGGATTTACTGAGTTTGATGAGTCAACCAAAATTCAGTTCCCTTCTGCTTGGGCCCTTAGGGGCCAGAACAGTTTGCTGCTTCTGCTGTATCTCAGAAATCCGGTACATCTGATAACGCATACATAAACATTGCAGAAGATAATGCCTACAGGGTGACGTTCAATTTTTTTTCTTTTTTAGCACTTATTCCTTAGCAAGGTACTAAGTACTGAAAGATTATTTTTAAAAAAAATTTATTTTAAGAAAGTACTAGTAGTGTGTTGTCATGTCCCCCCTCCCCCTTTTTTTTTTTTTTTTGAATTGTAAATGGTAGGAAGTATAAGGGTAGGAAAGGCGTGAAGTAAAGGAGACATCCGTCCATTCCAAACTTTGTAACACTGTTGTCTAATTTTACTTTGTTACTATGTTGAATAGTAAAAATTAAGATACTAGTCTACTGAAAAACACTTGTAAGATTTTTTACGTTAATTATTAGTAGATAAATGTATACAGAGCTGCATACTGAAAAATTATAGGTTTTTTTTTACATAAAGCTTGAACTACAGAAGCTGTAGGATGTGGCCAAATTATTCTATAATAAGCAATATCAATACAGATCTTTCATCCCATTCTCATAGTGTTTGGGATAGAATAAGCCTAACATTGATTCATTTTTTTTTAAGCTGGAAAAATATACTCGGAAAGCACCATGAATCTGTTTTCTGTACTGAATGTTACCTGCTTGTTTCTTGTGAGTGTCAGTCAATTCTGCGCAGTGTAATTAAACAAGATTTTACTTCTATGATAGTACAGAAATTAAACTTGCCTTGTTATTGTCAGTATGCCAAGCTTGGTCTTACCTTGGTGGTCCCAGGAGGTGGAATCAAGAAGAAATCGCCAAACTCTGCACAAGACAAAGCAAGAGGACCAGCCACAGTGGGCTCTCATGCTGATGAGGAAGAGGATGAATATTCTGGTGGACTATGCTAGCTACAGACATAGGTTGTCTTAAATATCTGACTTATTTGTGATGTTGAGCATATCCAAAGGCACCAGATTTACCAGAGCTTCATTGCAATTGTGATGTGGGAATGCTAATAATAACTTGGCAGCTTCTCTGGGTACAGTATGGGAGAAAAAGCATGACTGTATCTATCATCTTGAAACACTTTTGAACTTCATTTCTTACCTGGTAGGAGCTTCCTCAGGGTCCTGCCTTCAATTGATGGGAAAAATTTGAGAGAAATTTTTACTAAAAGCACAGTTTAAAAGAAACCAAAACCCAAGAAGCACTAGAGTAAGGAGAGCGGTACAAAATTTTAAATGCTGGATTTCAACAGCTGACACTTTTTGTTCCTGGTAGTATGTTTGTATTTGTTTTCCGAGTTAGATATGTGATCATTCATCTGGCTATTTATCTCCTGTTCAACACCATTTAAGGCAGACCATGCCAGGCAGGATTTTTCACTAGTGTAAGTGCTAGAGGGATCATTCAGTCTATTTTTCAACATGTTTTTACTCCACTGCGGAATATTATTCTAATACCTTATTCTTTGCAAGCACTATCCATGTGGATGTGGAAAATACTAAGTCAGCTAGTTTGAAGCCATCTTACAAGCTTGAAAGTACACACACATCTTTCATCTTAAGAACTTCATTGACCTGAAGTCTTTGGAAATAAACGTGTGCGTAGTGTTTGTAATGTACACCTTGGGAATGGAAGGAATGGACAACCTTTCTTAGTGTTTCTGAAGCATGCCATAACCAAAAAAGAAACTGAAGGTAGCAGATAATGTGCATTGAATATGAAGCTCTGAAGACAATGTTTAACAAAAACTTCGGTGGAATGTTTCAATGATATGTTAGAGTTCATGAGTGTTCCAGTTGTTTATTTGCTAATCAATACGCTAGTCTATGAAGACATTTCATTCTTTCATGTTTTCAAAGCATAGAACGACATTTTTCAAACTAGCTCAGAACCCAAAGTAACCAAATTTTAATGCATCTTCACTATTTTTATTTGGTTTCAAGTCTTCATGTGTTTTTCAGGCTTCTGTAGTGTCTTAAATTTGTTTGACCATTTTAAGCTTAAAAGTTGACAACACTGGAAGTTGTGTACCTGTGTCTGTCTCTTAAGAAGAACCTGATCAAGATCTGCACTAGGGTGAGATCACTGGGAATCCAGCAGGGCTTTTTGCGTGTGATACGTGATGCCCAAAGTTCAATAAACTGTAGACCAAAAGCACGGTGTTAAGTGTTGGTACAGTGTCTGCCACATTAAGGAACTGGATGTCTTCAGAAATATCAAGCACATGTCTGACGTCAATGTGTCAGACATTATTGTGATGAAGGTAAAATTTTAGAGGGTTAATATTCACTTTCCTTGGGGTGTATAGAACTCAGTAGCATTGCACAAGCTACAGCATGATTTACAGACAGGGCTGCTGTAAAATTCAAATTATTCAATTTAACGGGTGTTCAGAAAGCAGTTTTGTCTCTTTGTATTATGTAACAATCAGCCTGGATTTACAAGCTGTTTGAGACTACACCTGTAGTCCTTTACTGTCTGACAAGTAGTTTCCCCTTGTTATCAATGATTTATATAAAACCTTTTGCTTTTCTATAAAATAGTCTAAATGAAATTTTGGGAATTGAGTTGCTTTTCTCTGATTACGAGCGTGTGTGAAAGATGTTTTTGAAGGCTTCCCTGTAACTCTTCTTTTTTCACCATTGAAACAAGTTTACTCAACTTCTGCCTTCTGGATTTGTTTATGAAGGTGACCATGCACTTTTTATGGGGAGTTTTTATCACAAGTAGAAAAAAACTGCACTTGTAGGAGCACTGGGAACACTAAGGAATTTTCTTCAAGCTTTTCCTACTGCTTCCAATTCTGAAATCAGTTTTGTTGAATGGTCCCAAGGAGTCTACTTTTTTTTTGTGTGTGAACAATTGTATATATCTGAGATGACATGCATAAGAAGAAAAATTGGGAGCCTTGTGTGCTTCTGTAAAAGAACTTGCAGACTATTTAAACTGTGCTTGTAACACTAACAGACTCTTAAAAGAAAAATTAAAATTTATGCATTAGATTCTTAAAACGTACTTCTCATATTGCCAAAAAAATAAAATAGAAGTACAAGACTGTCTTCCTCCTCCCCCAGCTTTCTTCCCTTTTCCCTGTGCCAAGTGTGGAAAGTAACTTTACTAAACGTGTTAAGCTGCCATTGAATTGAAAGGGGCTTCTCTGAATATTAGGAGTAGAATCTTAATCTTTGATTGCAATGTTGCTGCAAAGACCAAATCTGCAGAAATGGAAGTGTCTGAAAATAAGATGTTCTATTTTATATAACTTATTCTTCTATTTTAGGCAATGAAAGTGTGATAGGAATGTTAACTGACTTTTACTAAATGTTTAACTTTAGAAGAAGCTGTCTGTATATTATGTTAGTGTTTGTTTCTCTTTCAAAGCAATTTGCACACTTACGTAAATATCATTTAAGTGATTTTAAGAGGAAAAGATACCATTTACAGCAAGAAAGTTTCCAAAACCAGTGTTGACTGTAAGAAAAATAAAATTGAGTTGTGCATGAAGGCTGAGTGATGGCCAATGCAATGTATATGTGAAATCAGAAGATTCCTAAATTATCTGTAACTGAAGATTCAGTATGCCCAAGTGCAGTGTGAAATCTGTGCTTTATTTGTTCTTTTTCCAAATCTGTGGTGTATTAGAGTACAAAACGTGTTTGTAACAGCTCTTCAGATGCTGCTTCTTGAGAAGATGCTATGTGTTTCACCAACATGAAAAATAAAACTTGAAACTAATGCTTTTGTGCTAGCTTTCCCTGTTGTTGATCAGGTCCTGCTGAGCACCCCCATTTGAAAATGAGTGGTATTTTTTAATATTCAGCAGATTCTGTATGTGACTGTCTGCAGACCTTGTCACCAAGTGTTGCAGATACATTATGTGATCAAGGACTAAATCTTGGAAACCCTACAGGCTTAGATTTGAGTATTGAAAGTCAGTGGTGTCCACTCTTTGTGACTTATTCACTACACATTTGCTTACAGCCCATTTCATTTATCCCGTGGTTTTTGTTTTTCTAACTGACCTTTTGGTACCTTTCTGCTGACTTTGATTATTTGAGATGGTGACACGTCTTAGGTAATTCTGTCCCCTTGGAATAAAAGGTAGGTATGTATTTTGCCTCTCTATGATTGTAACATCGTGGTTCATTGTCACTGCTTCATTTCCCAAAGGCTTTTATTCAGAAAAGAAAATTATTATATTGGGTGATTATCAGACCTGAATTTGTTGTCTTTTAACAACACAAAATAGAGAGAAATAATGGATTCTCCCGTCCTCAGTCTTCCTAAATCGTGGCTGATTATGCAAGGCATAGTTACGGTTTAAGAAAAGAGTATGTTTCTAACGATAAGGGAGGACGTACAGATTTTTAGATGTGCCATAGAGATAAAGCACTTGTTTCCACAGTTGGGGTGGTTAAACGTGTAGCAAACTCTTGAAGTCTTCTGGAAGACTACGCAAATATGTGCCAGGATTTACCTGAATATGGTGAAATCTAGAAAGGACTGAGAATATTAATGGGAGCAGCAGAGATGTGAAAAAGGTTCTTGCACCAAACTGAGTATGGATATTGACTGTGACATATCGTGTCATTGTGTGTGCCGCTGGCCTCTGCTGGAGGCTGAAAGAGGTGCCTACACCAAAACAACTGAGGGTCAGTACATGTGGAGGATGCCCTAGTCATTAGAACATTGACATTCATTTCTAGCAAGGATGACTTTAGAAATGGTGTTTGCTGTCCAGCAAGAACATGTAAAGGTGACTTAATACCTATTTAGGTCATAGTTTTTTGCTGATTTAAAACCGAGACTCGCGGTGGGATGAAGAGGAAGGTTATTTTGGGTTTGGAATGGTTAATTCTTTACCTATGTCATTTTACTTACACCCTTAAGTGTCACTGATGTACATTTAAGCAGCTCTATAGATTAACATTGGATTTTTTCCCAAAGTTTGATTAGTAATTCTATTACAGATTGGAGGGGGGATTTTTTTTTTTGAAGTGAGGGTGCTATTTGTGTTTGAATGAAAATGGATTCTGTTAAAAGTACGTAAGTAGGTTTCTGTATGTGCTGAATTCATACAGAGATAATGAAGAGGGTGGGGGCATTTGTAATATAAATGTGAATTTTAAGACTGCTATGTTCGTTGGTTAATTAATTGTGTTTATCACTTAGGTCAGATTTTTAACGTGGTTTTCGTCCATGAAAATGCAAGCTTGTAATTACAATAGGGTGTTTGAAAAGCAATTAGATTTCAACATTTCGGAAGCCATAGATCTTTACACAATTTAAGGATGTGAACCCTGTAACTCTTTGGAGACTTCATTGTTGCAGAAAAGTCACATTTTCTACTATTTTAAAGTCAAATTTGCTGAAATACTTGGAGACTGAAGAATCTGGCACTGAAGTTCTTCAGTGTGACAGGAATCATCCCTCGGATGCTGTGAATAAGCAGCTGTAAAAATGGTAAGAACTAAGCTGCTCTTGGAAAAAAAAAAACTTTTTTTTTTTTTTCTAATCTAAGTTTATAATAAGTAGTGAACTTTTTTGGATGTAGGAAATAGAAAAAAAGAAGCCCCCCTAACCCCAACAACTAGTAGTGGTAATAAAATCAGAGCAAGTAGATGTAACTTCGCCAGAGCAGGAGGAAACCACTTGGGATCTGTGGTTGTTTTGAGTATGAGATGGGATATTAATCTCTAAGCTAATGGTCTGTAGAGACCAGCATCCCCAGGAGTTGGGGCTCATCTCTTCCTGCACCGTAGTACCTGTCGGAGATGATGTATATGAGCACTACATCTGACCACCTTCTGAAAGGCTGCTGGGTCTTTGTTTCAGAGCCACCATCGTTGCCCTTCAGCAGCGATTTCCAGTGCATTTGCGGTGCAGCCTCCAGCCTGGAATGGGAGCGAGAGGCAGCTGCAAGGCTGCACGTACATTTAAAGAACATATGGCTGTTGTTGGCTCATCTGCTGAGTCTAATGGGAATAGAGTTAACGAGTGTGGCAGCGCTGTGAGGTGCACGCTGCTGGGACGTTAACTGGTGTGCAACCAGTTTAGACTACTCAACAGAAACATTTTGATACTAGAGCGATGGTAGTAGACCCTATCATGCGTAAAGTGAGAATGGGATATCGTTGGTTGC